CGGTATTTTGTAACACGGTTGGTCGCGAGGTCTTCGATCGTAAGTCATTTTGTGTTTGTTATTATGTGACCCTTATATTATAAATTATTGACAAATGTTAAAATATAGTTTATTTATGTGTATACTTTAATAAAAATGTATATTTTCACAGGGAGTGGCTAGTTACCCGGAAGGGTCTGGTGAATAGGCCGTAAACTCTGAAATTGATAAACTTAATGGGTTTTACTCTAAATAACTAAAAGAGTCTATTGTAAGATATGACTACCGAAAACTTATTGAACTGTCTGAAATATTTTTGGGAGGACATCAAGAAAAGAAATGCTTATAAAAAGCTGAAATTTCATATGAAAGTATATTTTAGCAATACTAATTATATTAATATATTTAAGGGATAAAATCAACTAAAATAGTGAAACAAATGATAGAAACAAAAGCAATAATATTAATTAGTAATCATATTTAATAAAATCATTAGAAAAATACAGTCGTGAAGTATATCTTCTTTTTAAAGTGTTTCCTGTTACAAAATACCGCGCGCCTAACGTTGGCTAACGGAGGGTTCAGATGCAAGTCGGCACGGGTTCCCGTTTATAGAATGAGCTGAAATTTTTACTGGGAGTATATAAACAAGTAATAAATATAATTAGAGGGTATGCGTAAAAAAATAAAAATAAGGGACACCCTATGCAATGAAACGCGCAAATTACTGCTGTGTGTGTCAGTGTACAAACCAATATGTTCGTGTGGAAATCTCTCAATCTCCGAATATACATGCGAAAAAGTAACTTCTTCACCCTAATTCCTATTTACTCCGGCGCGCCAGCTTTGTTCACTGACAACTTTTATCTCAACACTACGATGTTGTGTTATATTCAATATCGGGATTCCTTGCTCTCATATGCCGCGCTATGCCTTGCTCCAACCGTACCATTACTCAATGCATTGCATGTTTTTTTACTATCTATTCACCCTCCCACCCTACCTGCATCTCCAGATTTCAATATACATAAATTATAACGTAAATATGATAACACTACCGATATATATATTTTGGTTAAGTTTATCATTTATTATGTTTTCTTTTTATAGTGTTTTGCATAGTATAACAAAATATTATTATAATGATCAATTTTTTTATATATTTTTTCTACTACCACGAAGTTGTGGCTATATGGCGCTTTAGTCACGGGCTGAACTTAGTTTTAAGTTAGTTGTTAAATGTCATACAATCGTTAAAATAAATTGCCTTTCTTGTAAAATAATACTAAATGTGAAATTATTTTATTATCCCAATACAAAAGTATTAAATAGTTTCTCAACACAAATATTTGAAAAGTTTATATGAACATTGTACATTTGTAGAAGATTAAAATAATAACAAAACCTCTTTATATAAAACCAAGTATTTCACTTTGTTTTATTTATTTTTTCGTTAAAAAATACTCAATTCAGGTCATTTTATTTAAAAAAAAAGGACCACCTTAAACGTTTTTTAACACACACTATTTTCTTTTGGGCAAAATTTCAGTGTATCCAAAAGAAATGGTTTTATAAAATAAAAATATTATTGAAAATTTAATTTTCCAAAGTTGTCTTTTCAGTCCAGTTCACGCGTTGTTGTATCTGCTCATATGTAGTATGTTTATGTGTAGATTTAACAAAATTTCTTGAGTAAGAACTTTATCTAATAACAAACTTGAGGTTGAGTCTAAGGCCTGCAGTGTTGAGAAATGGTTTTCAACTGTATACGGGGTGTGTTCAGAAAATATCGGGAATTTTCGTTTTTTGAAACAAATATTTATTTATTCGTCTACATTAATGTTGTCGCCTTCAAAATAGTCCCCATTGGATATTATGCACATGTGCCAGCTCTTCTTCCAATACTCGAAACACTTCTAAAACTCGATCTTTGGGATAGCCTTTAGTTCTTTCAGCGATGCGCTTTTAATGTCATCTATGCTTGCAAAACGACGGCCCTTTAAGGTTCTTTTTATTTTTGGGAATAGGAAAAAGTCAGACAGAGGCATGTCTGGCGAATATGGAGGCTGGGGCATCATTACAGTATTGTTTTTGGCCAAAAATGTTGTTCAAAATTTAACAATTTTAGAACAAATTTTGCTGCCACGCGTTTTATACCCAAAACATTCGAAAAAATTTCATGGGATGAGCCAATCGATATACCAACATCATCAGCGACTTCTATGATGGTTTATAACCATTTCTTCCACTTTTTCCATGTTTTTATCGGTTGTTAATATGCTTGTGCGTTCGGGGCGTTCGTCCTCTTCAACGTCTTCACGGCCATCTTGGAAACTCTTATACCACTTGTAAACTCTTGTTTTACTTATAGCAGACTCACTATAGGCCTTTGTTAACATTTCACAGAATTTATTTCATTTTTTAAGCAAAATTGGATACAAATTCTTTGATCGATTTCTTTAAACGAACGAAAAATCGCCGAGCTCATAAAACACGTCTAACCTTAGCGGCTGCCACAGACAAAGTAAACAATGAAAACAGCTAAAGTTTTTATCATACTTCAGGGGCATGTATACCAACATAATAAAGAAAATTTTATGACAACCGGACCCTGCGAACCCGCGAAATTAAACAATTCCCGTTATTTTCTGAACACACCTCGTATATACTGAAAATCGAAATTGCTTTTTATCGTTTTTCATTGTTATTAAAACAAAGGAAAAATACGATGAATTTAAAATGTTTTAATTCGTCTTAACCTGACAGATGAGTTTTTATTTGTTCTCCATAATAAATTGAATAGAGGGTCGTTTTTTTTTTCAATAAAAACTCGCGATATCTAACTTAACAGTCAGATATTTGACCTCTCGATTTGAACAAAACCTAATCCATCATAAAAAGACGAGACCCGAAACTTTTCAATTAAAAATAATAAGAAAAGACTTTTGGCTTGCATTTAGTTCAGAAATCCGCCGTATTGTCCTTATAATTATCGTGCCACTTTCAGCTTATCTTTAATTCCTATAATTCGCCTAATGATAGTTCACAGTCATTATACTATTTCCCATAAATTCACTTTTTGAATTCGAATTTTCATTACAAAAGGCACCCATTGTCCATTAGACACACTGCGCTTTAAACTTATTAATAAAACTTTTTTTTATTCCACCTTTAAAACGCTTATTATCGTACGTGTTTCTATGAAAATAAGTAATCTTTTCAATGCACATTGACAAGTTATGGCTTTATGGCGTTTTAGTCACGGGCTGAAGTTATCGTTAAAATAAAGTGAACTTCTTGTAAATTAATAAATTATTTTATTATTTTAATACAAAAATAAAAAGTATTAAATAGTTTCTCAATTTAAAAAGTTTATATGCAAGTTTGTACTAACCTTTTGATTTCGCCGGCAGTAAACTAAATTTAACTAAGAGCATTAAAAATTTTAGGTGGAGACACCGTGAACTGCTCATAAGAAACATTCTCTTCACTTTCACTGTGAAAAACTGCTTTTATATCATATTTAAACGGTTGTTAGTCCATTTTCAAGGGTTACATTTCGATTTACACATAAAAATTTGAAATTTTCTTACTCTATTTTTTATAAATGTCGCTCTCTACAAATATTTATAAACTATTCTACTCATTTAATCGCGAATAATTAAAATTCGTGACGTTTATCAAACTTGATAAATAATATATTATTATTTTATTCATATATTATTAATAGTTATTTATGTTATGTTATTAGGTTAAGAAGTAAGGCTTTTTGTGCTAAGCTCAAGGTTTGAAGGCCGACGCGTAGCGGAGGCCTACAATTGAGCGAAGCACAAAAATGCACTTCTTGGCCGAATGACATACAACATTTTATCTTTAAAGCACTTTATATAGGTCAATTTAATTCAAAATCAAAGCGGCCTAACCTCACTTTTTTAGAATCTCATTTATTTATTAGCTAAAGATTACATTAAATGTACAATAATTTGTATTGCTTTTAGAAGCAGTAATAGTTTGACAATACCTAGCTACATGATTTAAGTGGAAATGGATTATTGCTATTACATTGAATTCAATTAATTGTTTAATAAATAGGTAGGTATCTAATTTCAATTTGTTTGGATTTTTATTTAAAAAATAGGTTGTTTGGAATGTTTAAGCTGTGTTTAACATTTAATTTCACTGAAAACTTAAAGCAAATTAAAACTTAAAGATAATTTAAATCGTAGAAAAAGAATCGTGCGTTTTCTTGGTTGCCTAACCTCACTTTTTGTTTTATTATTCATATTTAATTTTAAAATAATTTAATGAAAAATATTAAACATTAACAGTAAAACAAACAAATTAGTGCTTATTATAAATAAATTAAACCAGTTTAGTACGTTAATTTCTTAGAAAAGGATTAATTTGTCAAAACAATACCCCTAGCAAGAAAAAATCGAACTAATTACTTGCCTAGGCCATAACAAGGTATTTCTTTATCGAACAACAATAAAGTTTAAATTATAGATAAAAATTATTTTTTATGTTTTGATTTTAATAAAATTAGAGAGATATATTAAATGAAATAAAATTGGGTTGCAACTTAAATGGTATGTGGGATTTTGTCTAATTGACAAATTTAAGATCTAAAATTTCACGATATGGTAATTAAGCTTACATTGCATTTTTTTTAATTTTCAAGCATCTTAAATATACATAATTCGCTAAAGCCTCAGAATAAAATATTTGGATAAACCGCAAAAACGCGTAGATTCATATTTTTTGACAAACCGTTTATACGACTGAAATTTTTTTATATGTGATGATTGTATCTTAGATTTTAGAACATGCAAAACTTTTCATGAAACAAATTTTTTTTTTTCTTAAAATTAATAATAAAAAAGTTTTCCATATGTTGCCAATTTAAGTAGACACACTGTAAATTAATTGTATTCAAAAAATATATTGTAATATATGACATAAAAAATTTAAATTTTTATTTTTTTAGAGTGCAATTTTTTTTTGTAACACACAGTACTTACTTTAAATAACGTAAATAATAATGTTCGCAAAGTTTTCGGTGCGATCGCGATGAGTTTTCAGGGTGAGCTTTTCGTCGCGACGATTTGCGGAAACTGGATGCTGGAAAAGCATTTTCGGTTTGTTGGGAAAAGCGGGCGCACGCGTGCTCGGCTTGTTGATGGTCGCTTCTTCGCAAGCAGCGGATGACCGAACCAATGTTAATTGTCGGCCAAACGGCCGCGGTGCAGACTTGGAGATAATCGGTTCATAGGGCATCGGGGAAAGCGTTATCATACATCAAGCGTCTTTAACTGCATTAACGAACCGACTTTGCCCTACGGAAATTTCAAGAATCCTGTATAACAGAACAACATCAAAAGTCTTCTCAGCTTCTATGCACCAAACAATTATAGACCGACATCAATAATACCGGCTTTCTCAAAAATCTTTGAAAACGTCATTAAAACTAGATTAGTAAACTTTATGAAAAAATTTGGTATGTTTGGGAAGCAACAATACGGCTTTAGGAAGAAGAGTACTACGACAACAGCCATAATAGACATGATGGCTAAGTTATATCAAGCAGATGATACAAATAAAAAAATTGAGCTAATAACATGTAACCAGTCAAAAGCTTTTGACTCAGTCAACTATGAACTATTACTCGGTAAACTTGAGTATTATGGAGTCAGAGGAAACCCACTGAAACTCATAAAGTCCTACCTTGAAGAGCTCATCAAATGGTGTACTGGATTGAAAAAACATCAGATAAAGAATCCTGTATAACACAACAGTTCAGACCAACAACATCAAAAGTCTTTCCAGCTTATATGCAACAAACAATTATAGACCGACATCAATACCGGCTTTCTCAAAAATCAAGGAAAATGTCATTAAAACTAGATTTGTAAACTTTAAGGAAAAATTTGTATGTTTGGGAATCAACAATACGGCTTTAGGAAGAAGAGCCATAATAGACATGATGGCTAAGTTATATCAAGCAGATGATACAAATAAAAAAATTGAGCTAATATCATGTAACCAGTCAAAAGCTTTTGACTCAGTCAACTATGAACTATTACTCGGTAAACTTGAGTATTATGGAGTCAGAGGAAACCCACTGAAACTCATAAAGTCCTACCTTGAAGAGCTCATCAAATGGTGTACTGGAATAAAAAAACATCAGATAAAGAATCCTGTATAACACAACAGTTCAGACCAACAACATCAAGAGTCTTTTCAGCTTCTATGCACCAAACAATTATAGACCGACATTTATACTACCGGCTTTCTCAAAAATCTAAGAAAATGTCATTAAAACTAGATTAGTAAACTTTATGAAAAAATTTGGTATGTTTGGGAAGCAACAATACGGCTTTAGGAAGAAGAGTACTACGACAACAGCCATAATAGACATGATGGCTAAGTAATATCAAGCAGATGATACAGATACTGCAAACTTTATGGAAAAATTTGGTATGTTTGGAATCAACAATACGGCTTTAGGAAGAAGGGCCATAATAGACATGATGGCTAAGTTATATCAAGCAGATGATACAGATAAAAAAATTGAGCTAATAACATGTAACCAGTCAAAAGCATTTGACTCAGTCAACTATGAACTATTACTCGGTAAACTTGAGTATTATGAAGTCACAGGAAATAAACTGAAACTGATAAAGTCCTACCTTGAAGAGCGACATCAAATGGTGTACTGGAATGAAAAAACATTAGATAAGGTAAAATTATGACCTACTATTCCAGGATGGACAATCTAATAGTTACCTCTACGCGAATGATACCAGTTACGAAATAACGAAATAAATATCCCAAATAAAAGTGAAGAATGGTTTAACTCCAAAGTAAAAATAAACAAAGAAAAAAATAGCGAATTAAATTCTTAAATTTAAAATTCAGCCGGTAGGATTCGCATTCACTGGCTCTCGCTCTACTCCACGTGGTAACGAGTTTTACATTTATATGCGTAAAGTTGCAAAGGCACGTTTTTGAAGTTTGACTCAAGCATGAATTTCTAAGATGCAAAACAATTGCGTGAAAGTCACTTAGGTCAGTCGATTTATACTTTTTACTTGATTTAATTGGATGAAAAAAAACTTCAAATCCGCTTTGATATATTTTTAAAATATAGACAAAGAAAAGGTCAGGGTTTTGATATTTGTCATCTTTGTGGAGCTAACGATGTGCGGTCGCGGATAATAGAGCATAGAGAAAGGGAAAAGTAGGATGGAAGACATAAACTAATTAGTTAACAATTTGGTCTTAACATAACAAATTAGGAGGCGCCAAAACAAAAGTTTCGTTTGTCGAGTATAGTTCAAATAATTTTACACATGATGGAGAGAAATTTGTTTAAAAGCATAAAGAGAGAGGGTCAGCTTGATGGATTATACAACACAGGAAAATGCTAGATACTGAGCCGGTTTTAGTTTTATCATGTAATAGGTGTAATCATTCTCAGAACTAAATCAAATGCAGCAGATTTTTCAACCTATTGTGTAACGAAAATAATGCATAAACCATGCATTATTATAAGTCTATGATTGAGTGCCTATACTTTATACTTACTACCAGTAAGTTATGTGCCAAACTACACATAAAAGAACGTCTCATATTCGCAACGAGTTACAACACATATTTTGTGTTCGGAATTATTAAATAATTGATACACTCAGTTTTGTACACATAATCTAATAACTTTATTTGGGTATTCTTAAGAAATTATATTCCATTCCTTAACAGCGGCTACAATAACCTCTTGAACTTTCATGGGTGGGTTCAAACGAATCAATCTGGATAAATAATCCCAGATGTGTTTAATGGGATTCATCTCCGGAGAAAGAGGTTGACAACCAATTCTGTCAATTTTACCCTCTCGCAGAAACTCTAGGATAGCTTTGGTTCGATGTGGACGGGCATTGTCATCCATAAAGATGAAATCTCGAATTGGTTGAATAATAGGCCGAAATCCATGTAGTCATATTGTCAGGCACATGAACCAGTTAAGTTTTACTTCCATATATGATATCACCCCAAAACAAAACACTTCCGCCTCTAATGGTATCACTTCTCTGGCAAAAGCAAGTCGCTAGTGTGCTTCCAGTTTTCTCCAGACACGACATTGAGAACATCCGAGAACAGCTGATCTTGAGTACATTCTAACATTGACTGTCTATGTCTAGGAATTAACCTAGGCACTCGTAGAGGCGTTGTCTTCTGATGGCATAAGAAAAGTTGGTACTGCCGTCGAAGACTTCTAAACGTGATGGACCTGTTTCTCCTAGTTACTTGACTTAAATATGGTCTTCCTTTTGAGTTGTAACCCTTGGACCTCCACTTAGATGTGCACTTTCCACAGTACTCGTCTCATTATGCCTTTCAATGGTCAGAGCCTAATTAATCAGCTATTTCTCGATGTGATAGACCTTCTTCAAGAAGAAAGATTATTTGCAAACGAATTTTATTGCTAAGTTGAGCTTTAGGCATTTTTAAGAGGATTTTCAACCCATACAGCGACACGTACAAACCTGCATATTTTGTGATTTACTTCCTCGGTTTTTACGGTTTAGTTCCATAACAAAAACCTTCAATATTGATATTTTCATATTATACTTGGTGGTGCAAGACTTTTGAAACTTAGTGTATGTTAATTCCAAACTGGAACAAAACGTTTTTTGCCGGCGCATAAAAAACGAGAGAGGGACGTCCTTGAGAAGGAGCAGGATCTTATCCAGGGAAGAATTCACAAACGCTTGCACCCTTTTGTCCGTTTGTGAATTTGCGCTGGCGGGCAGTTAATGCCAGCAGCGAACGGCCAGTTATAAATCTGCCAAGTGCACACGTCGGTCAACGGCAAAGGCACATTACACTAGCCGATGCCTTCGCGACCGCAACTATAAATTCACTTTTCTCTGTCCACTGAAAAACGGACCACTGCTCTGTGCCGCTCAACCTCTACCGCCTCTGCCACAAATGCACAGTTTTACATTTCCAACATTAAGAAGGACAAATCATTAAGCATGAGTTTGGAAAATAGATCTTTTCTGTACACTATTTTGAAAATCAAACAAAACATCAAATGTATTTGTGTTAGCCTGTCTGTCTAGAGCTTGCAGTCACTTTGATGTTGTTGTATTTAGACTTTATTTAAGCCTATTTTTCATATATACTTTTATTAAATTTTTGTGTAAAACTTCAGCCTGTAACAGACACTTCAATATAAGTCAAACATTTTGCAGCATGTATATGTAAACACGGTCTATTCCCATTTTCCATTGATCAGCTCAAGGTCTTGACGTAGCAGAGCACATATGATAGGAATTCCATCAATGTTACCTAAATAAAATAATAAAATATCATATAATCTTGTAAAATTAAATATCTATATCTTAATTTAAAAAAATAATTATTACGTCTTTTTGTCCCCCTAAATGAGCAAAATCGAAACCTGTGTATTCAGCTTGCGTCTTTTTCCATTTCCCAAAACTTCCCGTACAATTATTCGACTCTATCTGCCGCAACAAAACGTTTCACATCTTTCTGTTGCCCTCAATTTTGATCCTTGTCATTTTAGGAAATTTATGGACTTTAGTTTTGTGTGCGGAATTAACATTCATATTCGAATGTAATACAAGCTAACAACTCGCTTATTAATTGTACTGCTGACGACAATTCATTTATATTTGTTTTAACATGATTTACCCTTTTAACTTTTTAAATTTAGATGTACAGGGCTTTCAAATACAACTAGCCACCTTAAAAAAATTTAATTTTATGGAAATTTTTATTTAACATTTTTGTATTTCTACAAAAAATGGACAGTCGATGAGTTCACGCGCCAGCGTCGGTTCAACAATCCACTGCATCAATTGGTGTAAATCAGAGGCAAGAATATGCGTACTTATATGGTAACAGTCGGTCCCATATGCTCGGTGTAGGTATAAATTTGAATGATCAAAAGAAATTGGGAAATAAATAACGTCGAAGTTGAGCTAAGTAAGTCTTCAGACGGGAAAGAAAATGCATTGTAGTCGTCGTTCGGTTTCTCAAACGATTGCAAAAGCTCGTAAAATGATTGCATCGA